TCTCACCCAGGAGCTTCTCAGCACACCAGTCTTTTCTGTCAGTCCCTGGTGCATGTTGGGGATTAAGTGTCTGACTGAAGACTGAAGGCAAGTGCTCCTGAAGCATTTTCCTGCCCAATTCTAGTCTGAAGCTCCAGATTTCAGCTTGCTGCCTCCAGCATCAAGCCCACTGCTCTGATGTGTTTTTGCAGGTATCAATACAGGGTTTCTATTGGACAGCATGTAGCTATGTACTAATGGCTAATTTACAAAGATGACTAATTTCTTCTGCTTTTTGATGTCATCACAAGACCAGTCTGCCTTCAGTAATCGTGTCACTAGATCTTCGCACATCAATTAATTGGCTTGTTGGTATCTTTATGTATTTAATAAATAAACCAATATATCATTCATCAAAGTCATATTAGTGAGAGAAAGATAAGTCAAAAAGTGCTCGAAGAAAGTTGTTAACACTTCTGCCTTCAGAAATGATGAAACAAAAGCACTAATGATAATTGTCAAGAATAACATTCAAAGACTTGTTTAAGAGTACAAACATTTGATGAACCTTGTATGGTTGCAAGTCCTTTATCATGCACTAATAAGCTTATCCTTCTTATTAGTCTTTGGTAAATGGCCCTTTTTGCCCTTGTTTTTACACAGCTATCTTAAAGTGGACCTATCATGCTATATTTGAATAATATATTGTAGGGCCATATATAAAACATGTCTGTTTTTTTTTTTTTCAAAATACCTAACAGATCATGCATTTTAGCCATGCCTCATTTCGCTCTAATTGCTCTTTTCCAGCCCTGTTTTTGCAGGGGCTGATTCTGTGAGAAGTCTTCTTCGCTGCTTTTGTGGCAGACTACAGCGCCACTTACAGGCCTGGCATATGTACTACAGCGTCTCCAGCGCTTTCGAGCGGCAATGGCCGTGGCCGTGGCCCAACCCCACATTCCCCTGATAGGTGGAGAGTTGCCCATATAGGCGGAGCTCCCCGTTTCTGACGTCAGAACAATTTCAAATCTGTATCAGATCCGTTGCAGCCCCGTTTTTAGAGATTTGGGTATGGAGGAAAAGAGAGAGGGTTGTGTTTTCTGACACTTGGTGAGTTCCCTGACACACCGGGGACACATATTCATGTGTAAAAGACGTACAAAAAAGTGCATTTTGCATGATAGGTCCCCTTTAATTAGAAATAGACTGCAATGAAAATAAATATATTCTCATATACAATTGTACATAAGGTGCCAAAAGTTACAAACTATAACATTATTATTCAGTTCATAATCAGAGAGATTCTGGCTATAGTAGCTGCGCCTCCCCTTCGCCTCCTGTGATTTATTCTACATCTTCTCAAAAATGCTGAGATGCATGTGGGCGTGAGTGACAGGAAATGGGGACGCCGCTCCCCCCAAGATATCTCCTGACTCGTATGAAAAATGAACCTCAGGTTATTTTTTGAGTGAGCGGATCATTCTGTGGTATCACTGTCAAATTCCTGGCATGTGGAGAGCTTAAATACCTCATCTCTGAAAATGACTAGATAGGAAATGGCTTTTTTTTTCTAATAATCATGTATTATCAGAAGTACTGATAAATTGCTCCAGTAAGTGGGCTGCCTAGGTATGATGTTGGTGAAAGTAATGCAGTTCCTGTCAGTAAATGACCTCAGGTGCAGAAAAAGAAGACGCAAACTTAGTTATAAATATCTTCCTAGAACGATAGAACTTCCTTTGGGCCACTCAGTAACAAGATGCAACATTCCTCACAAGTATAATTAAAATCAAAACTGCTTGTGTGGCAGCTATAGCCTTTAGACTCTGAAACCTTGACCTTTAATTATGGTACCTCCATCAGTGTAAACTTTGAAGCTCCAGCGAAGCCTGTCAAAAATGCAAATCATTAATAACAGTTAGGTACAATTAAACTGAGGGTCTCAGAAATAACATGTTTCGACCCTTATTATAGGACAACTGTTAAAAAATATACATTGTCAAATGACTGATTATTAGAGTATTTATAGTTGTATATAGAGCCAGAACTGTAGGACCCTTTGTTTTGGAGCGGATGGAATTTATGTCTGTTTCCTTTGTCGTTTCTTATAAGGCAGAGACGTTGCGATGTGAAGCAATAAGATAAACCTCACATTAGCAATTAAGAACGATAAAAAGGAGTTTAACCTGACAGATACAAAAACCCTGAATAAAAAACACATCATCAAGAGTGGTTTAATTTTCGCATAAATTAGCAAGACATTATAAACTTGTGGTGTAAATACCACTGAGAAGATGCAGGTCTTTATATTTACACTTTTTCCCACTTCAATTAGCGGGGGAAATTGGTTTTACCACTAACATGACGTAATGTGCCATGAAGCATCAACACTGAACACTGATACCCTTTTGGGAACCTAATTAAAGTATCACTGTAGTGGAGAGGGAAGACACTCAATTACTTATCTAAAAAAAAGATCACAGTTATCAGTGCTTGGATTTTAAACTACCTGTAAGTGGTTTTCTCGATGTATATATTTGCTAGACAATTTGTCATGAAGCTAAAGGTTTGACAGAAAATAAATGTGATCCCTCCCTGGTCTTTGGTGAGAGAGGCTAATAGCTACTCACAATACCTGTAAATTAAAGCAGCATGTCACTGTGGAGACTTAGCGTGCAGGGCTACAAGGAGGTGGATGTTATTACTCATTTTATCAGAAAGCCATATATCAAATATACAGATGCAAGGACACACACACACACACACACTCACATGAGGCTCTTTAAGACATTTGTTTCAGCAGCTTTAGCCGTCTCATCGTGTTAATGTTATTTGGACAGGCAGATTGGCTACTGGCAGGCTCAACAATTCACCAGAGTCTGGGGCCATTTTTCAAAACACCAATTAGGAGTCTGCGTCCCATCGATCAGAGCACTAGCTATTTACTCCGAGTGACATAAATTAACTCATGTGTCCCTGAACAAAGGTTTGGAAGAGACGTAATTGCACATATCATGGGGGTTACGTCTTCTATCATGCATCTGCATAACAAACACATCTTTTATTTATTGAAGGCTTATACATTTCTGGTGGAGTGTACATTAATAAGTCACCCTATTAGAGCACGGTGGGTTATTAATTATTCTCTGTCTTTGTGCATGCGAAAGCTGTAAATGCCATTGTTAATTAAAGAGATTAAGAACTATGATGGGTGACAAACGGTGTCACGTCCTATTTCTGTCACCGCCTTTAATAGGGTGATGTTTATTTTACATACACAACAGGAAGGCAATGTGCATGTGTGTGTGCGTGTGTGTTTTTGTGTGTGTTATTTAGCGCTGTACTCAATGGTTGTCTTCCTGAGATTTTGAAGAACAGATGTTTTAAGTGTCGGAGCTGTCCAAGAAATATTTCACATAAAAATAGTAGCGATACGTAGCAGCAGGTTTATGAGCGGTGCTCTGAGGTACAAGCATTGGTTGGATGAATTGATTTTTGTTTGGCTGCCTCTCTATAAACCATCCAAATACGGTGCTGAGGACAGAAGTAAAAGCAGGGGGGGGGGGGGGGGGGGTGGGGGCATTTATTTTTAAGCAGCATTATTTATAGTTATGTACTATCTCGTTTGAAGTGGAACACTCAGTAGCACATGAAAAGAAACGATGGTACTGTTGAATTTAATGGGGCAGAGGATGCATCAAATAGCGGAAGCTGGCACGTACTGTATGCGGAGTCCATCAGCAACAGATATCTCTTCAATTATTCAGCAGGTTAGCATGAAAAATAAATGGCTTCTTCCTGCAGTGAGAGGTGTGGCACTGCTCTGGTTCCTGTGTGTCTTTCATCCTTTTACTGTACAATCACACATAGGTTAGGGTGGGCAATTGATTCCTTTCACCTATTTTCACGGATCACTGCATCTCTCTCGGTATTGGACCACACTAAACTGTTTGGCAGCCGCCTCAGCCTCGTCGACACTGAGAACTTTCTATAATTCTCACTAAGCTCTAGGTCAGGTGAAAGCAGATCTGATTATCAAATGTTTGAGAGAAAAGCAGTTCCATAGTAACCATCTTCTGACCTTTGCCCCTTTTAATCAAATCATTGCACAGAATATCAAAACACTTTGCAAAGGGATGGAAAATTCTCAAGAAGGTACAAAGACAGAAAAGGTTTCTTTTAAATACTGCACACCTAAGCCATCTAAAGGTCAAATGTTTCAATGGTATTGAAATGATAATTAGGACCTCTATTACTTGGAAAATCTTTTTCATTTGAATGCTGCTGAAACAATATTTGATCTTGACATTTCTTGACCTGCAAATCGCAACATCAATGCATACTGGGTAGTTCAACATCTATATATATATATATAATGATATAACACAACCCTTTGATCATGTGTTTTTTAGTCTTGATCTAACCATGAATTTGTATGAATAGGTTTGCTGGTGAAAGGGAGGACATGCTTTAGAGAACTGACACTGCACAAACGTCATTTAGATTTGCATCTGTATTTGTTCATTAAATCGACGGACTCAAGATTACAATATCTCTTTGTGCAGTTCAAATACTTAAAAAATATGTATTCAATGTGTATTGCTGAGTCTCCTTCATTAAAGCAAGTACCATTGCATTCAGTGTTTCGCTGTCGGTACATTCATAGCATTTAATCTGGACCTTTGTTGTGTGTTTTCAATAGTGTAAGTTCTTCCACTTGTTTCATTTGACAGCATGGTGGCTCACTTCCAAGATTAGATTGAAAGCAAGCCAGGTGTCTCTGATGTCACGTCCCTTTGTTCTCGGTGATAGGCATTCGGCGTTAGCTGTCTGTTCTTTCTGTCTGTCTTCGGGGTTCTTTCCTGCCTTTCTTCTCCTGTCTAACTAAATTGTGGCTCTCAGTGTGTCGACGTCTCGTTTTTCTGTTCACGATGATCGACGCAGGAAAGAAGAAAAGGTGGAAACAATTGCTCTGCTTGAATTCTAATTGTAGCTTCCTCTCTGGTTCTATGTCTCTCCAGGTGGTCAATCTCGCTGGTCCTCCCCTCGCTGCGACTGCTGCTGCAAGAACCACAAGGGCGACGGCGAGGGCGAGAGCGGCACCTCCTTCAACGAGCTCTCCACCTCCAGCTCCGAGAGCCAGTCGGAGGCCAGCTCTCCCCAGGGAACGGTCATCTGCGGGCCGGTCAGCCGCCAGTCACACCCCCGCACCACCGTCCAAACCCTGGACAGGCCACCGAAAAAGGGCCCCATCGGCATGGTTCAGCAGTCCGAGCAGCGGCGAAAGAGTGACTTGCTGCGCACGCTTACGGCGAGTTCCCGGGACACCAGCACCAGCAAGAAAAGGCCGGCGAAAGAAAAGCTGACGACCGAGGAGGAGCTGGATAAGTGCATTCAAGACTTCCGCAAGATCAAGATCCCGGAGCGGTTCCCCGAGAGGAAGTACAATTGGCAAGCAGACCTGCTGAGAAAGTACCGCGTTTGAGCCAGGATAGAGGGAGCAGACACACGAGGCCAAGGATCAGTTTACATGTTTTTTGATCATGACCTTTGCAACAATAGGGAGATAACACTAAACTCATCTGAATCCAGTTTCTGGGGGGAACTTGACCTTCATGCCAGTGGGTTGAAAGTCTACACAAAAGCTAGCAAGAAGCATCAAAACTAGACTGTTCTCTTATTGACATGTAGTGTGTATGTGTGTGTGTGTAGTGTAGGTCTACTGTATGTACTGTAAGTATGTGCTGTACCTTGCTGAATGCTTCAGAGCTTTGAATAATTTATCTCTATGGACCAAGCCAAGTGGGTGAAAGACATCTTCTATGAACCGATTAACAACCCGAAGGCTCACTAATGGCTACAATAGGGGTTACTGAGGGTTACTGGACTACACAACTGTCATCTGTCATCATTTGCCTGGAAAATCATAACAAGAGCCACCATTTTAGTCCACAATGACACTTGATTAAGTATGTGAATGTGTGTGTTAATATGTGTGTGTTCGCACCCAGGTGGCCTAGAGGTCACAGATAAATCTACATCAGGACCCATTAATAATTCATGCTGTCCCGACAGTGCTCTCACTATAAATACACCCAGAGCTCTCTGCTGCTATGGTGGCGTAAACAGCGAGGTCAATTACTTAGTTTTAAGGTAGCATTTGATGACTTCTGACGCAGGAGGAGGTACAACTTCATCAGCAGCCCAATTCATTTCCACTTCTAATATCAGTTATATTGCAAATGCACCCCCAGTGAAATGCACTACCCCATATGCATTGATTATGTTGCCGTGTTGGTTAGATGGGGAGCAATTACCAGATTAATGAGTGAAGGATAGGTGAAAGACTGAATAATTTAATGTAATGATCAAACCTTGGAGAAATGCAGATGCTCCAATAAGAAAATCCCTGACTTAACACACCTATACATAGACACTTTTACATTTATAGCATAGGGATTTTGGCTAATTACTTCACCGTCATGACACTCACTTAATTCCCACATAGAAAGTGATTAATCTTTGTCAATATCCTTGAAACGACAAAGGCTTGACTGAGTGTGGACACAGCGATCGATAGGTTTTGATTTTATGGTAGGGTTAGAGCTGATAGATCTTATTCACAGTTATTGATTTAGCCTCTTGGTAACAAACAAAGACAAGCTGGTCATGTTTTTAGTGAAAGTTAGCCTTAATTTATGTATGCATTTATGTCCTCCTGTCTCAGGGTCTGTGTGATGTGTTATAATGTGGTAACATGAACAAAAATAGCAGATAACTATTTAAAAATAGTACAATTAAAAATATATATTTAATTTGCTCAGTAGTTATTCATTGAAGGCTCTTTTGGAACTATACCGAATGTTAATGACCTTATGATTTTAAAATGATTTTAGCCTGTCAAATTAAATTAGTTAAAAACCTCAAATGGCAAAAGCACACAGACATGTAATTATGTTTTAAATGTAACACCTTTATTTTAAGAGTTAAGATGGCAAACTTTTCAGGATGAAAAATTCCATGAACACACCTATTGTCAGATTAGTTTAATGTTAATCAAAAACGTTTTTGACATCACATTCTCTGTTTTAGGATGACATTTAAATAGGATTCAGCATATTGTACAGTGGATTGTTCAACAGTAGGGAACAAATACACGATTCAGTGATAGAGCATGGTGTCCAAAGTAAAGTGAAAGGAAACCCTAATTATGTCCAAAGTATGATACACCTTTGATCAGATTTATTTTCAGTGAGAGGAAATGGTTGATATGATCGCTGAACTGTTTAAGAAACAAGTTGGTTAATTGCAGCTTCAGGTAAAATCTTGGTATTTATGAATAGTGTAATATAATAAACACTTTTGATGGAAGATATAGTTGGAACCAGAAAGTTATAAATATTGATAAATTGACTTGCATACATTCAAGTGCAGAATGACCTCCTTTCCAGAAGGAAAATAAAAAAGAGGCTACAGGGAAAAAGCATTTTCACAGATGATCTCGATCAAAGCTTCTATGAGTTGTTGCTATTGCAGCTTATGAAGGGGCACAAAAATGGGCTTTATAAACAATCATAGCTTTTACACAGCACAAGGTATACAGTTGAATTTAAAGCACATGCACAAAAGAGTACAATATGCATAGTTCAAACTCATTCAAAGATCACATTATTTAAAAAACCTTATATGTTAAAGGTCCCATGTCATGCTTTTCCGGTTATTACCCGTCCCTTTGTGTGTTATGCAGCTTTTTCTGAGTATGACGGTGACGTGACCATACCCAGGTGCAAATGGACCAATCCGTGGAGCTCTTCACACACACACACTCACTCAGCCTTATCTTTTCTCAGCCGCGGCTCCGTGGATCTCCACTCACAGTTCGACACACACTCACGTGTGTGTGCTCAGGCTGAGTTCCGCGGTGTCTCGCTGTCTCGCTGTCTCGCACGCAGACCCCACGCAGCAACCAGGAAACGACACAAGTAATACTGTCCGCTCTTCGAGCCTCAAAGGGCGGAGCAGCGAGCCCCGCAACGTCCCACCAACACGGCACCCAGACCCCACGCAGCATTCTCATCTGTTTGTCATTACTGGTGTCCTTTTCTGGTTGCTAACAAACACCGTTGTAACACATAAACACACATCAGAGCACAGTGGGCTCATAGGGAGGGGGGGGGAGCTCCAACAAGCCGTTTAGGACACAGAGTGAATACACATACTATACAGAGATGCTGTATGAGAAAACCAATGTGATTTTGGAACATTGAACAATGTAAATATATTCTAGTAGACCTCAACAATGGAATTATGATCAGTAGAAATGGCCATGACATGGGACCTTTAATAGAAATGGACAATGGGAAAACAATATTCTATTATACTTATTTTTCTATCTGAAGGCCTTTAAATATTAGATTATCAAATGCCATTATGTTGCCCATTAAATGTATTTGAGTGATTCACGGGGAATAAAACAACTACTTATTATATATTCAGTGGTACCCATATGTCTTCTGTGGTTTAGACTGGTATACAATAACATGGTTGCAATAGGTGCTAGATACCAACCAACCCTTTTCCTCATGTCAAAACAATGAATATGACTTATTTTTCTACATTGCTGAGATATTACATTTTCATTTTAAAGTCATTTATCTTTTGAGCTGAAGTTAAAATATGTTGATCCAAACACATTATATGTAAATAAACACCATAAATCATACCTAACCAGACAAATGTATTATACTCTGTATATAACATGCAAATCCATGAGATGTGGCTGCTACGTTGTTTTTAGTGATGCAGTAGACTGACGCTAATATAATACAGCCATTCTTGCTTTATCATTTAGAGTGTTGGGCCATCAGGGACAAGGGGGAAATATAATACACACCTATAACATATTATATATTTACCACTAACAAATGCTTTCCGAGTGTCATAAACTGCCTGTCAGCACATTTGTCTGTCAGCGCCACAGAGGCAGTCACTGGTGACTAAGACATTTCAGCGATGCTGAATTGCAATCAATAAATCTCAAGAGTTATGTTCAGGCCTTAATAAAACAGCAACAAAAGGCTAAAAAGATTAGTTTCTTCTAAATCTAAAAAGGTGCAAACTTTCCCTTTGCAACCCTGCAGAGTTTGTTACCGTGCAGTGCAGTGCAGATAGAGAGTGTTAAAACAATAATGTGCTTTTTGTTTTGACTCTGTACTCTGAAGATTGGATCTAAAATGAAAGAACTAAGAGATGAAATTGCTTACTCCCAGCTTCTTACAGTGTTTGAGGGTGTTAACATCCACATTGGGAGAATGATCAGATTCACAGTCCTTTAACCTTCCAATCATTGAACAAAAGGCAGCAGGACAATAACTCTTCACACATAGACAGGGCAACAAAAATACTTTTTATTGCCAAACATTTCAGACCAAGTCAGTCACTTGACTTCAGTCCAACTGATAATGTACTTTACTACTGAAGACCAGACTGAAGGCGACAAGCATCTAAAACCACAAAGCAGTGAAGACAGCAGCAGTATAGCCAGGCAGAATGGGCAGAGTAGTCTGGAAATGATTTGCAAACCAAATATTGAATCAGACAACTTCATTTCGGGGCCACTTCTACTTATTTCCCAAGATATCTTACAAGTTAAAGCTGAGAATCAAAACTTTAACATCACAGTCACATTACAATTTAAATCTCATAAGCTGAAGTAAATACATTACAAGTCTGACTGCACTATATTGTATATATAAATCTGGTATTTTTACCCTGTTAGTTTTCCTGGTCTGACCCAAGAGAGAAATGATAACTCTTTCACACATTATTGTTTTTAAAACTATAGCACAGTAGGTTCTTACTTACCTGTTTCAAACTATGAGGATTATGGTTACAAGTCACATAAAAATGGTTATTGTTTAAAGTGGAAAGTTGAGAGAGATTTGTTCGATATCTTTTTGCATATTTTTGTAAAGTTATTTTTCGACCAGTGGTTACTCTTGTACTGTTCATATTCAGCCCAGCTTAAGCAAAGGGATATTAGGGATTGTGTTTGCTTGCCTCTGCCTGCCATTTTGAAAATGTGTTGGGTTTGTTTACTTTGAGATGATTCAACGAGAAGGTCGATCAGTCACGGAAATCTATCTGAGAGCATTTTCAAAAACAGATTTGTCTCAAGAAGTGATTAGGAAAGCTGTTGAACAGACTGAGTGAAAATGAATACCAAGACACCTGGTGGCCTTCTAGAGTAGAATACAGCTGTTTTTTGCACAATGTATAAAGTAAAAAAAAAACACAGACAACTAAGTATTTAAAAAAGAGATTCATATTAATAATCACCTTAAATGCACAACACAGCTCACATAATGTGTCTGCCATGAGGGAGAAAGCTGACCAGTTTTCATCTTCAGAGCACATGCAATGATGTTTAGTTCTGTAGGCCTAAAAATAAAAAAATATAAAATATGATGTATATCTTATTGATATTGAATGACTGCAATTTTGTTTTAAGTCAAATGTGATGTATGCAAAAGAAGAGGGACTGAACTGATA